CTAAAGCAAAAATTAATCACTTTAGGCTACCTTGTATATTCTAAAGCAAAAATTAATCACTTTAGGCTACCTTGTATATTCTAAAGCAAAAATTAATCACTTTAGGCTACCTTGTATATTCTGAAGCAAAATTAATCACTTTAGGCTACCTTGTACATTCTGAAGCAAAATTAATCACTTTAGGCTACCTTGTACATTCTAAAGCAAAAATTAATCACTTTAGGCTACCTTGTACATTCTAAAGCAAAAATTAATCACTTTAGGCTACCTTGTATATTATAAAGCAAAAATTAATCACTTTAGACTACCTTGTACATTCTAAAGCAAAAATTAATCACTTTAGGCTACCTTGTACGTTCTAAAGCAAACTTAAACCATAAAACAAAGGTCCAACAAATTTGATTTTTAACCTAAAGCTCATGAATTATAACACAAGTGTAATATAACACTCATTTATAAGTTTAAATTTAATAAATAAAAAGCATCTATGGTTAAAACAGACTAATTTGAAAACAAGTACATCACATTAATAATACTTTTAATAATAAATCTTCCTGTCCACACTTTAACCCATACAGTATATATTGTAAGTTCTATACAATTTGAAATTAAAATCTTTAAAAATTTGGAGACTTTCTGGACACGTTTCAAGTCCTGTTACTACGAGCACCAAAGGCAGAAAACAAAGTTAGAAAAGTTTTTACAATTGAGCTAAAATTGTTGTAATGAGGACACTTCATTATATATTTGTAAAATCTCACATGAAAAATTTCTTGGTAAATAGTTTTTATTGTTAATGAATTTCCTTAAGTTCACATATAATACCACCCAAAACAAAGAAACAAATATTGAAAACAAAATATAAGTTGCTAAGCTTGTAAGATACTGCCATGTTGAATTTTCTGGAGTGAAAGTGTGACAAAGTAGCAGTAACACCTATTGCTGGAGTTTAAAAAATACTATATTGAAAACAAAATATAAGTTGCTAAGCTTGTATTCATTATAAAATAGCAGCTAAGCTTGTAAGATACTGCCATGTTGAATTTTCTGTGAAAATAAATTTTGGAGTGAAAGTGTGACAAAGTAGCAGTAACACCTATTGCTGGAGTTTCAAAAATACTATGCACAAATAATTTTTAACATGAAACTGCAAAATGGCAGACTTAAAATAAATTACTGTGAAATTTGCTTAATTTCATATAATTACAGAAAACACACAATTGGCTTTTACATCCTTGTAATGCTTCTTAATTCAGTAGTTTGCATCTCTATAATATTTTAATGCTGAAAATGAAAAGTTACTTAACACAGTCACTTGTGTAGAAAAACATAATTTCTCTTGTTGAAAAACAAGAGTGGTTTTAAAAAGTATTGTTTTTAATTTTTAGAGCTATGAATGTACAAATATTTTATATCACTAAAGCTATATAGTAGTGCATATAAGACAATACATACTACATAACAGTTGATTGATGCTACACACTCTTGTTTAAAATATAATGAAGTATTCTTCGTATTACTGACAATTC